TGAGCAGTTAAATTAATTCAGGAAATGTCTAGAATCTTGTCGTCTCTTGTAATTTCCTGATAGAAACAAACAAATGAGTGGGCCGACGTGCATCAAGGTCTGGGTAACCTGAAGGATTTCCCCCCTTCTTCCCCCCTCATCCTGTATCTTCCTGTATCCCTCGGCCTGCCTCCCAGTCTGGCTGTCTGTCAAGCTCCCCCATGTGTATCACCAACAACCCCACTTGAGGGTTGTCAAACAACTATCTCATTATCATATTGGAACCCATCCAACACACGTCAACTATCGTCATCAACATACCATATTAAAGATGACTTTAAAGGTGTCAAGGGTGGATTTAAACCTGCCGCGATGGGAGCATGTACCTGTTGCAATAGCCTGGAGATTATGTCTATGGGTATCGGGTAATGTTATGCCCCCCTTTCCTGGTAGTTATAACGGAAGCAATGTTACATTAACCATTTTGTCTGGAAACCTAAATCTGTCTACATGGTCGCCTTATCTTCTGTTCGTTCTTTCCGAGGAGGATATCACCAGTGCCAGGATTTAAATTTGATAACAGAATTGGGTTTTCTGTCGACACAAAGGTGTATAATGCAAGATGTCACCTTTTCACCCATAACCCAATCTCTTTTATTTTATTTTATTTTAACTAATACACTGGTGAACTGTCAATGCAATACGAATAGGTAGTATAGTCACTATGATGGTATCCTCAAATTTAACAATTTTTTTCTATTTTATTAGAGCCAAATAAAATCAATTCCTAGTTGCACCCTTTTTTCGACCCGCTTTAATGGTTCTGAATGAAGTAAATACGAATTTGTGAACATATCTAAACAATTAGGAAATTTAAAAAAAAAAACTGGTTTTGAACGTCTGTACTAACTATGTAGTGCAGAGGTTCAATGACAATACAGGGTAGTATTAAGAGTTTATTTATGTTGACATTGACAAATGCATTTTTGTGTAGAGAAAAAGTATCAGATATCAAACACAGGACCCCTCTCTGCAATATTAACGAAAAATACGGACGAGAAAGTAGGAATCAATAAGCCTAATTAATAAATTATGTCCGAAGTTAATGGAAATTATCTGTAACCTACCTACCTCAAGATATTACCTTACAACCCACTGTGTAATGGATACTTTACGGAAACATGATGGAAACAAAATAGGGGTTACTAATTCAAAATTATTACTTTGGTCATGTCATAATAATGACAAAATAAGTATTTGTTACATGTATTGATTAACGAATTTAATCGCCTTTCCCACGAAATATCTGCCCGCGAGCCCCATTAAAAAAAAACTCCAACAATTTGTATCAAGAAATCAGCAATGCGGTTTGTACTTTTGATCCATATTTCGTCATTTCTCGATAAAAATGATGGGGTCACCAAGCTAGAGCAATAAGAGCATGCAAGTCATGTAAAGAGACTCTCACAGGAAGACTTATGATGATAATGACAATCGAGAGGATGGTTGAAGTCTGTGCTTAATCCATTATTCTGGCTCATCATCTCCTATAGTAGGCCGAATCCCGTCAATCATTGATTAATATTTCACAAGAAATTGGCAACAAATAATCTTCTACAAGGAGCGTTATTCGGCGGCAGGGGATTTACATTTCTCAACAATTTCTTTGGGCAATTCAATTATTTTCCTGAAGTTGCCTTTTCTCCGGCAGCAGCTTTTCAAAATTTAAAGAACCTGCCTCTTTCCTGGGTTGAGAGAGACAACTGCTATATTTAATGAACTACCGGGTTAGGATTCGACCCACCAACCTTGTGGTTGAGAGTCAGGTAAACGAATCACTATTCCAAAATTGTTAACGAGGAAATGCAAAGACGCATAAGAGAAGTACGATATTCTTTCACATAGTAAAAATATTATATAATGAAATCTAGTTTCTACAGTGTTACGAAATAAAATCAATTGCTATGTTACATTTAGGGGAAACAATTCTTGCCTGTCTGAATTCAAGACTCAACGGCCGCATGTTTGGTAATTCGTCTGGCCTATTGGCCTAGGCCTTGTGTGAGAGAACTAGACTTGATAACATACAAAGTATTTCTCGAGTCAGCAAATTCTCATACTTTAACTTCTCAACAGCTGCTCAATATTTACAAACACCAAATACAATTCTCTGAATAGAATGCATTTTTTCTTGTGTGTGTGTATGTTTATACATGCATGTAGGCTAAAATCGATGATAAAAATTGTTTGCAAATATGGGTGAAAATTGTCATAATACATGTACATGTTCGTGTATTATCAACAGTGTTTACTTCGGTTCACTCGAGGAATGACAAATCACTGCGTATTAGTCTTTTAGTTTATATTTTATTATCTGCATGTTTATTTTATTATCTGCATGTCCAATTATTACATTCTAATAATCGAGATGTTCATTTTATTGATAAGAAGGGGTTCGCATTTACATTCTTCTTCTTCTTCTGTTGAAGTACAGGCCACCATGTTGTTGGTGTATATATATTAACAAAACCTTTCATACACAAATTCATTTGTGTAGTGGGTGAAATATATCTCACTTTCTCTTACCTTTTCAACTCCTGCACAAAACTAATATTATACAGTTATTGACTGGCAGGGGGTGTAATATAACATTATTTGGACCGCTCAAGGGAGTTATATTTCCCAAGTGGTTATATTTTCCCGAAGCGCGCAGCGCTGAGGGAAAATATGGTCACGAGGGGAAATATAATTCCCTTCAGGTCCAAAGAGTGTTATATACCCCCTGCCAGTCAATAACTGTTATATTAGATAGCCCTTTTTGTGGGGGGGGGGGGTCCAAAAAGTTTGCCCAAAAAAGAAATTCCCCTTTTTTTTCGGAAATTACAGAAAAATAATCTGTCGAGATAGTTCAAGAAAAAAAAAAAACCTTACAAAAAAAAAATTATGAAACAATTTTGGGGAAGAAAAAAAAAATCGAAAAAAAAAAATCTTACCCCAAAAAAGCATTTTTCGGGAAAAAAAAAAATTACCCAAAAAAGCATTTTTTGGGTAATTCTCTTTGGGGAAGAAAAAAAATGTGGAAAAAATAATTTCAAGGGAAAAAAAAATTCATGAAAAAAAAATATTGAAAAAATGAAATGACCCTCGGTAATGGTATAATGTGTGTAATTGGTGACATACAGTCCTCAAGAGGGCGACATGCATTGATTAAAAATATATTCATTTCACCAGCTGGTTAATATAACACCGAAAAGTGACCGGCCAGGAAAATATAACAATTTGGATCCTCACAATTGATATCACGTGACGAGCTCTGGACCAATCACATCTCGGTATCTGTCTAAGCTATCTAATATATAATGTTATTACATAATTAAACAAGTTAATTACGCAATGCGAATGAAAACCTGTTTGCATTTCCATTAACAATTGCGGATGGGCTCCAAATTCATTCGTAATCATAAAGATCAATGACCCAGCTATTTAATTAGATCCCTCTTCCCAATCATGTTCATACATTTAGGCCTACATGTGACAATTTACAAGCTCCTGTAAGTCGATTTATATAATTTAACAAACGATATTCGCTTGGACCAAAAACCCAGAAAATCGCACATACGTATCTTCATGATCCTTATTTTTTAAATAAAGGAAAGAGTGGGTAAATAACCAGCCTTCGTGTGAAAGGGGGTATCTTGCTCTAAAACCCTATATATCTGGAGCACATGGACATGGACCTCGTGGAAGCAAAGCACACAACTCAAGCATACTACCATGACAAAAGAATTGCCGCGCTTCACACTAACCACAATCAATTACGGTACTGGTACTAGGATACCACCACAGTACAGAGTATAATATCGTCCCAAACTATAAGGGAAGGTGCTCGTTCTGCTGTGATCTACTGTACACTTCATAAAGCTTTAATTTAGGCCTAGACCGGGAACAAGACACCCAGCTTGAGGTAGTTCGAAAGTTTATCCGTCACTTCGTTTCCTCAAAATCTATGATAATCTTTCTATAGACCCCTCTACACATTTTCGAGGGATCAGTGAGATGAATGAAAATTAGAGATTTTGAGATTTCGATTTATCTAGATAATTCTAGACTATAGAATTATTATAGATCTAGGCCTAGTATTTAGTAAAGAATTTAAAGAACGAAAGGGGAGAAATAGTCTAATTATGTTAATAACACACTTTTTACACAGATGTGTTTTCTCCGTCACAACCATGATAACGAGCATTGTCAATCCGTGTATGTTGATTGATCATGGATCATGGAACAACCATCAGATTCGGTTGAGGTTTTGTTAGACACCAATGTCATATTTAATTCAATATTTACAAACAATGAAACGCACATGGTCAAGAATGATGTTGCATACGCGTGAAATCGGAAGCTAGCTGCTTGCGCGCGGAATGCATTCGTGTTTGTCTTTGACGTGACTTTGATAAGTAGTGTCATTCACGTGGTCCGCGCATCTAGATATGGATGGGATTGGAATACTTAATCCAGATTTATTTACTTCACTTTGATTATTTAATGACTGCGCAGATAAAAGGCTTAGCTGGAAAATATGCCATCTTTTCCAGCTTCCAACTAAATAGATCATCATAACATATAACTGTACCAATATCCAGAACACCTTTCATGCATCGTCGTCATACTTGATTGATGGACTAGTAAAGCGAAAGTAAACAAACCGAACGTAAATTACAAAACCGCCACGCCGCGCGTGGCGACTGAGAACACGCGTCACAACGATATAATTATCAATCATATAACAGTTAACACCCTCAACGTGCATTTTAACAAGCATACCATTTCAAAATCTCAATTTGTACATCATTACATGATCTAATTCTCAACGAAAATGTTGATCTGCAAAAAGGTTTGACAAACGACTTTCGAGCCGCATGGAGCCTAGTCGCAACACAACACAACAGCAGTACACACAACATAGGGGGGCACACACGACATAGTCAACCGGTACATCAATTTAACAACACGATGCATACCATTTCTCCCTCCATATCGAGTTCTCCGGATGGATGGACTTCTTCTTGGTAGTTCATAGTAGTAAAGATCAAGATTTCTTGAATACAGAATCGTACTAACTAATTGAATGTACAAAAACGATAAGATTGGTGGAACAATTCGTCAAATTTGCAAAAGCAAAGTACCGGCGCGGCTATAGTCTACACCCGATAATGAAAATGTGTGAATGAAAAAAATACTACTATGATTATTCTGCGCATACACATTCTGCGCATAATATATCTAGGCTTCTATTCCAGAGACTCATTTCTATTCGTACTGTTATAACAATTCTTTACAAATTAGATTCATTTCAAAATATCATTTCAGTCAGTATATCTGTAATTCTCTTAATATGTGCATGTTTATGAGAACCAGTTGGGAGAAGAATATGATGTTATGAAGTAGAATTTACTGATTCGGTACTTTATGAGGTCTGGAATTTTAGGTTATTATATCGCGGGCTGATCAGGGGCGCGCCTTTTCTTATCCAATGGATGTCCACCACCGAATTGTAACATACGTATTTACAGTTATGTGATGTCAACACCAGACTTACATGCTTACTGTGCTGCATGCTGGAAACATAGAAAGATGACGTCATTGACATGTACATGTTTGTTTATGTATTGAACGTCAAAGAACAAAATAGATTGACGGTTTTGTCCCACAGACCATCACGTCGAATATGTTAGTATAAATGTTCATTGTATTACGCTAGCTAAATGAATTTGTACGTGTCTCGTCAGCCCGCGTCTCATAATGGTTTGACATGATAGTAACATTATTTTTGAGGACATAATTGACAACGAGGTTTAACAAAAATCATTGTTTAAGCAGTGGCGGATCCAGGGGGGGGCCGAAACGGCCGCGGCCCCCCTATTGGCGGCGCAAAAAAAAAAAAAAAAAAAAAGAGGAGAAAGAAGAGGAAAAAAAAGGAGAAGAGGAGAAGAAAGAAAGGAGAAGAGAAAAGAAAGGAGAAGGAAAAAGAAAAGGGAAGAGAAGAGAAAAGTGAAAATGAAAGATAAAGAAGAAAGCCCAACTCCCCCCCCCCCCCCCCCCCCCCCCCCCCTCCCCCCACTCCGGGGTCGGAGGGACCGAATTTGTGTTCCCAAAAATTCCGATAAAGAGTTACTTTTTTCACGCAAAAAAGTCCGGCCCGTAATACACAAAATCCGGCCCGTACTGACTTACACCGGAGATAGAGGGGTGCTTTCAAAGAGAGGGAACATACATGTGCGTACCCTATACTGAGTGGGTGGGGGGGGGGGGAGAGAAAAGTCGGTGAAAAAGGGGGAAAGACAAGGAAATGGCGCTAAGTGACAGTAGCGACGGATAAGGGAAAACTTGAATCGGGAGATTTGGGGTCATTCCAGAAGGCTTGGCAAACGTTATTGAATAGAGGGGGCCGGGCCTGCCGCATAAAATCTCGAGCCGCGGATTCAAAGTTAAACGTAAAAAACAGCCCCTGCACTACAAAGGTCATCACTCTTTAGTGAGTAATTTGAAAAGGGCACAATATTTTTGATGTCTTTTAAAAAGAAGCTATATACTCAACAGTCAAATTTTAAATTAACGGTAGGGCCGCTTCATAACTCTTATTTTGCCCTTCATTTGGATTCAGCTCATACCAACTCGCTTGTGCTTGTATTTGAACTCATGTTGGTAGTAATCATGGACAGGGGCGGCAATCCTGGGCCCGATAGGGAGACATGTCCCCCAGGAAATTTAGAAATATAGCTAGAAAGAAACATAGCGGAATTTTCTAGAATGCATAATTTCAACATTGCAAAATCTCGCTTTGTCGCTACGCCCCGGCCCTCGCCCGATTACAAAAAACTATGATATGACGCTCCCGGCCGTGATTTTTTGTGTGCTATCACAATCATGATTGTTTCATTTTCCCTTTAAAGCAGGCGCGTAGCCAGGAGCGGTAGGGCAGTTAGAGGACATAGGACGAAAAAGGAGCAGACAAAGAAAAAAAATATTGAAAATAGAGAACGGTACAACGAATCGTCTTCTTTCTCTAAAAGTTTAATGAAATGTCAAAGCTTCCGCGTTTCGCTCGGTCGGGAGGGGGGGGGGGGCAACTGAAATCAGACAAGGAATGGTAAAACGAATCGTCTTCTTTGTCTAATAATTTAATGAAACGTCAGAAGTTTACGCGCTATGCGCGGGTGGGGAGGAAACTGAATTCAAACAAGGACTAAGAGACGAGAATGGAACAACGAATCATCTTCATTCTCTAATAATTTAATGAAAAGTCAAAGCTTCCGCGCTTCCCGCGGGAGGGGGAAAACTGAATTCAAACAAGGATTAAGAGACGAGAATGGTACAATGATTAGTCTTCCTCCTCTAATATTGTAATAAAACGTCAAAGCTTACGCGCTACGCGCGGGCGGGGAAAAACTGAATTCAGACAAGGGTTAAGAGTCGAGAATGGTACAAAGAATTGTCTCCTTTCCCTTATAATTTAATGAAACGACAAAGCTTCCGCGCTTCGCGCGGAAGGGGGGGGGAACTCAATTCAGACAAGGATTAAGAGTCGTGAACGGTACAACGAATCACCTTCTTTCTCTAATAATTTAATGAAACGTCAAAGCTTCCGCGCTTCGCGCGGGAGGGGGGGGGGCATTCAATTCAGACAAGGATAAGGAGTCGAGGACGGTACAAAGAATCGTCTTCTTTCTCTATTAATTTCATTAAACTATGAAAGGCCAAAGCTTCCGTGCTTTCGTGGGAGGGAGGGGGGGGGTGATTTTAGTCAAGTAATAAGAGTCGAGAATGGTACAACAAATCTTCTTATTTTTCTAATAGTTAATGAAACGTTAAAGCTTCCGCGCTTTGCGCGTGAGGGGGAAAACTGAATTTAAACAAGGATTAAGAGACGAGAATGGTACAACGATTCGTCTTCTTCCTCTAATAATTTGATGAACCGTCATAGCTAACGCGCTACGCGCGGGCGGGGAAAAACTGAATTCAGACAAGGATTAAGAGTCGAGAATAGTACAAAGAATCGTCTCCTTTCCCTTATAATTAAAGAAAACGTCAAAGCTTCCGCGCTTCGCGCGGGAGGGGGAGGGGGGGGGGGAACTCAATTCAGAGAAGGATTAAGAGTGAAAAATGGAACAACGAATCATCTTTCTCTAATAATTTCATTAAACTACGAAAGGCCAAAGTTTCCGTGCTTCGCGCGGGAGGGGGAAAACTGAATTCAAACAAGGATTAAGAGTCGAGAATGGTACAACAAATCTTCTTTTTTTTCTCTAATAATATTAATGAAAGGCCAAAGCTTCCGCGCTTCGCGCGGGCGGGAGGAAACTGAATTCAGACAAGGATTAAGAGTCGAGAATGGTACAACAAATCGTCTTCTTTCTCTAACATTTAAAGAAAGGTCAAAGCTTCCGCGCTTCGCGCGTAATGGGGGGGGGGGGAGGGGATAGCAAGCTGCCCGAATATGAGTTTTTGATATCTTTTCTAGTTTATTTTGGTAATAAATAACACTTTAACAAAATACATATTAAGCTCAAATTGTTGCTCGGTCGCTTCGCTCACTATTTCGAATTGTGAAACCAGAAAATTACTTTTCGGGCAAGAGGCTATCTATGCCCCCCTTCCCCCCCCCCCCCCCCCCCCCCCCCCCCCCCCCCCCCCCCCCCCCCGATGAAAATGTCAAAAATTGTACCGGTATGGTGCTTCTAATATGACCTTGTCAGTATTGGTATGTTGAGTTGAAAAAACGGTCTGCGCAATTTTCAAATTTCCGGCCCCCCCTATTGGAAAATCCTGGATCCGCGCCTGGTTTAAGTCTGTGTATTGTTGCTTAAATTGACCTATAAATCATCCAATTGCACTTGATGGTATATATGCAGGCCTACTGAAAAATTGTATCGAACATACGTGATGGGGCCCCTCCTCATTTTCAAAACTCCGGTCGGGAACTAAGAATCACATTTTTAGTGGCCATGAGGTATTTTTCATCACGTCATAGCCATTAAACTCTACATAATTTATATTAGATGGCTGCTTTGTTGTATATATATAGCAAAGCTCCTCTCAGAACATTATTTTACAACTATTGGTTCTTAGATTAGGCCAGTATTTGAGAGACTGAGACTTGCGTTTAACATTCATTTGGTTCGATTAGAGGGATTAGAGTGAGGCCTTTTATATATTCTGGTCAAAATCACCGAGATAGGCTTTTGCATTTTTGTGTGTCACGGATACGGGATAGAAGTGGAAGTAGGGAATATAGATTTTTTGGTATATGATTGCTGTTCTATAGTTCTGATAAAGATAGGTTTATTTTTTCGAAACAGTCAACCTCAGTCAGTAAATGTCTGCGTTATCAAAATGGGGAAGAATGGCGGATGAATAAATAAAATTAAGAATTGATTCCTAATTTACAGCCACCCAAAGAAATCTTTCAACTAAGTTGTAATTCTCCCCGGTATAACGTAGAAACAAGTCTATTATATGTTTTCCAACTATAGTGCCTATATACCCAGCAGTAATAGCCAGAGGCGGCCCTCCCGGGGGGCAGGGGGGCACAGTGCCCCCCCCCCACTTTTTCAGATACCCCCCAAATGCCCCTTTTTACATAGGAAAAGTGCCCCTTTTATTTTGTATAATAAGAAGTGCCCCTTTTACATAGGAAAGGTGCCCCTTTTACTTTGACAAGTGCCCCTATTACTTAGTAAAAGTGCCCCTTTCCCCTTTTCACCTCTGACGAGTGCCCTTTTTATTTTTGACACGTGCCCCTTTTCCTTCGACATGTTCCCATTTTCCTTTGCAATAAATTTTCATTTTCCATTCTCATGAATCTTGAAATTATCTTGAATAAGTGCCCTTTTTAATCTCTAGTAAGTGCCTCTTTTCAGGTACGAGAAGTGCCCCTTTTCACTTTTAATAAGTGCCCCCTTCACCTCTGATGATTGCCCTATTCAAAACTAAGAGGTGCTATTTTTACTTTGACAACCTTCCCTTTTTTCCTTTGTAAGAAGTGCCCCTTCTCCTTTTAATAACTACCCCTTTTTTAAACTCGGATGAGCGCACCTTTCATTTTAACATGTGCCCCTCTTATTTTCTAATAAGTGCCCCTTTTCCTTATGATAAGTGCCCTCATTAAAAAGAGAGAGCTCCTTCCCCTTCTCATAACTTCCCTTTTCCCTTTCTAATAAGT